AGTGGCATAATTAATGTGTCCATTATGCGGGGATGTGTCTGACGCTTACTGCCGCCAGGTTTCCCCTCGTATTCTCCTCTTGGACGCCTCGAGAATCTCTAACGAACCTTCTTCTGCTTCGTCTCTCTCTTCCTCTTCTGTCGCATTGTGTAGTGCCGGAGGAGGGAAAAAAAATTCAGGCACAAAGGCCTCGATATCCTTTGTCTCCCAGGCTTCTTCGTCCTCTACGCGAGATATTTGGCGGTGAAACTGCTGACGGCGGGCGATTACGGGTCCTCGACGTGGAACGCCGTCGCATTCGTCTTGGGTTGCGTCTCGTGCCTGGGCATGATGGTCGTCGCTGCGTTTCCTGTGATTCATCCCGTCGGGCTTTTGGGGGGTCGGGGTTTTTTGTTTTTTTTATTCTCGAGTCGGTGGGGTTTTTCTTGCAGATGCGTTCGGTCGATCTCGTTCACAATGTGGCGGCGTCGTTCATCTTCTACCCGGGGATCGCTTATATGGTCATCCATAGTCACGTCACGGTGACGTATCACCCTGGGTATAGCAAATGCTTCGTTCGACATTGCCGAATATATTTCTCGGTCGTTGGATTCGTCGCTGCCATCTTGAGTATCCTTTTATCTCCAGAATTTTTTTTTTCTAATTTTGGATGTTCAAATCCAGTGATTTTCATTTGAATCGGGCGGGAAAATGCCTGACTCGAGTGAAAAACGCTGGAAAACACGTAAAAATAAATAAATGAATATAATAATAATGAATTAAACTTATTTTTGGGAGTTAAAAGTAAGGGATTCTCATGCCCATGATAAATGTAGTGGGCTTTTCACATTTTACATCCACGTAATCTGCAAACTTTCCATTCATAGAATGTGAAAAAGCGTCCTTGACCTTTGTTATTTCAGTGCTTCCGACGAAGCTCATCGCCGACGAATTGAACGTAAGTCATTAAAGAAGCGACGAAGAGACTCGCCCTTCCGCGAAGAGCTTAATGGAATTCGAATGCTCTCGTGCCTCGCGAGTTCCCGAGTTCCCGAGTTCCCGAGTTCCCGGGCCCAGGGGAACTCGGCTGCAGTTACCCAGTAACGTCGTTACCGTTCCTCTCTGACGTTCGCAGAAACCCGAATTGGGAGATGTGTCTGCGTTGATGGAGTGGATCCTGGTCGTCTTTCTGGCCCTGTACATCCTGACGTTCGTGGACGAATTCTCTCGTATTCGTCTGGATCTATCGGCTGCGTTCGTGTCTGAAGAATTCGAGGAAGAACGACGACCTCTCATATCGTCTGACCTGTGATATTTGCACGAAGTTCGTATTTAAATATATATGCGGGGCGAAAGGGATGACGTACCCTTTTTTTTTCGCTGGAAGATCTTGACCTTCAAAGCTTCTGCATTTTTAAGGGTAAAAAAGTGGGGGGCCACTTGGAAGAGCCATGATTCACGAGTGGGTTCACCAAGAGGAGAATACGAGGGGAAACCTGGCGGCAGTAAGCGTCAGACACATCCCCGCATAATGGACACATTAATTATGCCACTGGCACCGTATCATCCCATAATGAGACGTCTAGATAATTGATCCATGCATGAGAAGCCCTAGGCATTTAAGGCACTATGCCGCGACTATATAGCATATATGCGTTATGACGCTCGCTGTCAGCTGCTAAATGGCCCCTTTTACCATGAGTTCGAATCGATAACGCCGGCTCGATAGCGAGATCTCACCCGAATTCCCAGGAAAGGAGAAACGAAGACCCTCCACGAGAAGAAGCTTCCATCTCTACCATCCATCATGAATGATAAATCTAGGAACGAAGTGGACGGGGTACCTCGGTATGCTCTTTCGATCCTCCGCGCGCCGAACGAGGCGAGTAATTCTGTTTCCTCCCACAGTCCCATGGAGAATTGATGCCCTCGCACCGACGAAGGAGGTGAGAGAGGCAGAAAGACTGTGCGGAGGGAGAAGCCTCGCGTTTCCCAAAGGATGGACCGTTCCAGGCCATTGCCGCCGAAAAGAATCTTCCAAGGCCATTCATCCAGCCCCTCTGCAGTTTTTTTTTTTTTTCGTTTCCTTTCCGAGGGGAAGGAACTTCCTTCCGGGGCGGCCGAATGCATTTTCGCAAGTCTCGATTGTCGGCAGCGTCTCTAATGACTCGTAAAACGCGAGATTCTACTTTCCTCGGCTCGAACTTTTTATTCTCTTTAATTTTCAGAGCTTTTAAGGATGTTTTTCTGCGGTCGTTTCCAGGAATCGTCAGTTTTCCCTCGAGTCAAGTTCTTCCCGGAGGCGATCACTCGCGAGCTCCAATCTCAAGGTCTCTGAAAATTGAGAGAACTCGTTTTTCATGGTCGGAAAAAAAAAACTTTATAATTGCAAGGATTATGTAAGAATGCACGAAAATAAGTAAGTGGAAATACAACATGCAGCTTGCTTGAATTTACTTTCAACGAAAGAAGCGTGGAAAGAATTGTCAAGCAATTGTGGTACTTATTATTATTCAGAGTTGTGACAACATCGTTATCGTTCATTCAGCGCTGAAATTCGCCGGAAATGTTCACGAGGGCTGCACTGCACGATGACAAGGCAATTGATCTTCTCCGAGATGCTGGGGCCAATAAATCTCTCGTCCGTACTCACACACCACCACAAATCCCGATAAGGGTCTCCTTTCGACGACTGTTGAATTCGAAAGCAGGAAAACGATCTGCATAAAAAAGCCAATAAACGCAAGAGACCATCCGATAAACACCATCCGATTCCTAACGAACAGAGAGAGAGAGAGCAATCAATAGACTCCAGAAGACGAAGAGCGTCGAAAGAGAGCCAATCGCATCTTAATCGGAGCGCAGTCCCTGTTACATTCGGAGTGCGTCCGCGTGGCTTCACACCAGCTTAGGATGCAATTACCCCCACTTCGAGTTCTTCATTCGCTGTCGAGGGTGTTGATCGCGGTGTGCTTTCGCTTTCACTCCCCCGCACCACCCCCGCTTCGTTCTGACTCTTGCGGCTCGTTTCTTCGATGGTCCTGTCTTTTCCCCCGTGATTAATTTTTTTTTATCATCAAAGCAGGCAGTTTGAGACGAGCACGAGGGCATGCTTTGAAGGGCATGCTTTGAAGCACGAGGGCATGTTGCTCAAAGCCTCGACTTAGGAGATTGGATCTGCCACGAACATCTTCGAACTCGCAAATTAGATGTCGCTGGAAGATGACGAAAACATTGGTGTGTGCAGTGGGGCAAATCAGTCACGGATGTGTGTTCTTCGGGCACGCAGGGATCGTCTCGAGCAGCCGGAAATAATTTGGAAAAAAAAAGCAGAGATACAGCAAAGCCGATTATAAATGACACCTTTTCGGTGACATGTGCAGGGCTTTCCCGGTTTCGTGACACGATCCATTCAACAGAGTCGTATCTCTTCTTTCTCCGCCGATGGATTGGGAGGAGTATATGGAGAACATTAAGCCGGGTCATTTGGGACTCTCCATCGACAGGCCCTGACGTTTTGCAGACATTTAATGTTTTTCCCAGCGAAGAATGAGGGCGATATCACCCTCGACCATGAAACCACGTAACGTAGCGCATGGCTCAACGAGAGCCTTCGAGTCTTGGGAGCCTTGTAATACCAGGTGGTGTACGACACCGAAGAATCCCTTAATATCCCCGTCTTTGCGTTTCTTATTGCTCTCGGGGGGATGCTTTCCGAGGAAAAATTGCTAATTCCTTCACGGATTTCCCCCCCAGGAGCCCGGAGATAGACGAAAGGCCGGGAGGAAATGGCTGGGGCCGCCCATTTCCTCCCGTCCATCAAAGCAGGTACCACAACGCGGATTTTGCGTGTTTCCAGACCGTATGGAGGAGGAAGGAGAATGGAAGGTCGCGAGTGACTGCTTTCGATCATGGAATCTGATGATTGGAGCAAATCATGCAAAGTTCCTCGGATTCGTGACTTCAGCCGGCACGAGAATCGGATCCCGGATGCATCCCGTCGACCGCAGACGAACGTCAGTCGACCGGGAAAACGTCTCGGAATCCCGACGGACCGACCAAGATTCGATTCGTCGAGATGCTCATCGTCCCCTCGGCCCCATCTCCCGAATTCCGGGGATTCCGTCGTTGAGGAAGGTCACGAACGATCGAGATGCGTCGTCGAGCGATCCTTTTGCCTTCATCATCAGTCAATTTGGTGCCCGGTGCATGCCTCCCCCCCCCAGTCCCCGCCCATGCGCATCCGACTCTCGTCGGCATAAGAAGCCTCGAGACGGGCCCGGCTGCGCCTGTACTTCTTCAGCCTTCCTTCGCCGGAAAGGGCAGAGGAACATCAGTGATCTCTCTCTCCTCACTCTCACTCTCTCTCTTTTTCTCCTCCGATCTCTGCATCCTCTGCATCTTCGACTCTACCGTGAGTATAGCTCATATCGACTTTCAGTACGGTTAACCTTCGCAGTCCCGGCCGATCACCGACCGGAAGCGTCGAAAGGGCTCCGTCGGGCGAGGAGATGCGAGGCCCCTCTCTGAGGCCCCTCCTCGAGGCCCCTCCCGAGAGCATTCTTCACCTTTTCCACTTCGATTTGCTTTCATCTCGATTACGTGGACTGTCCCAGGTCTCTCGCTATCACTTTTCCTCGCTGCGATTTATTCGCATCATCTTAATGGGATTCGGGGGCGGGAGTTGAAAGGTTAACATATGGCATTTGCGTTGCATGGGGACAATTATGTCGTGTTTGCTTTTTATGCGGGCTTCCTTCTCTCTTGGGATTTCGTTGTGACGTTGCGATGTGCCTTTGAGGTCGCTATTTCTGTGCTTCCGTGAAGAGACGAGAATGAGCTAATCTATACTTTTGTATTGTTCGGGTTTTTTTATTATGAGTATTTTCGAAGACGTATGCCGTACCTGTGACGTCAATGCAGGTTTCCTCGGTATGTTTTTTTTTTTTCTTCCGGTCGATAATGCCTGCAGCTCGTTTCCCATCTCCGGATCAGGAAATGCCAGATACCGATTCATTGAGACATGTTGATACAAATCTCCTCAATCGGAATCGATCATACCGCTTCGGCTGGTCGCGAAATGAGACGATTCGAGACTTCACGAAAATCCGAAGAAAAATCTCGGAATCGAAATGGGAAAATTTTGAAAGGGATTCGGTGATGCAGGCTTTCTTATCTATACTACTAATTTATATTTAAAATATTTCAAGAAGCAGGACTATTTTTAGTTTTAGAGGAAAGAGTCGTGGTAACCATGGATCGGGGTGCTTCGCTTCCGAGCCTCTTTATGGTTGAAAAATTCTTAATGGCGAGTGGCTCGTCTCATGGAAGTATCTATTCAAACCGGTTTTTTTTAGTTGTTTTTATTTTTTTTTTGGTTTCATGTCGGCAACAAAAAAAAAGGGAGTGCATTTCCAATCTTTTTTTTTTCCTCGAGACGGGATGTCTTCTGCCTTTTTTGTGACGTTGTCTTGCGATCTAGTGCTTTATCTCTTGTTGCTAACTTCATCGGACGACTGCAAAAAGGATGAAAATACTATTAAGCAATCGGGTTTGTTGTTTTTTGTTTTTTTTTTTCCGTCGAAACGGAATTCCGCGAATCGACGAGTTCTTTTTTTTTTTAACAATTCCTTTTTGTACTCATCTCGAACGCAAAATTTAATCTCCAGATGCGCACAGGACCCCAAAGATCACGGAGCACATAAGAAGAATGAGAATATAGACTCTCGAAATTGATTAAATTTACTCGTTTCCTTTCTGCGTCGCGTGAATAGCGGCGACCGAAAGACTCCGCGAAGTACAAACTCTGGTCTCGATGCGTGCAATGAGTCGTTTCATGTATTCATCCCGCTTCACGATGGACGCGAGGAGCAACGAAAGTGCTCGAGTTCTCGTGCGAACGATCGACACGAGAAGAGCAGCTCTCGCTTAAGGGTCCGATCGCTTAAGAGTCCAATCCTTTACTCGAGGGCCTCTCCGACGGATTCTCTCGAAGCGTTCCGTCAACACACCCATCCTCCATCCTCAGCATAACCATTTCCACGCCGAAATCACGCGATCGATGGACGACCCAGTTTAGAGGAGAAGATCGAATCTTTCCGATGGACAAGTTTTTTTTTTCTCCTCTCGAAAGAGGTCGGAGCAAATAAGTCTATACGTGAAATGGAAAAGTTTCCCATCCACGTGCCCTTCGCCGACGTCGAAGAGCCAGATGGATGGATGGAGGACGGTTGTCAGGGCGGATGGATGGATGAACAGAGGGAATTATGGGGAATCGGGTAGAGAGAAAATAAGGGGAGGAAAAACGGGGAAGAAACGGGGGAGGAGGAAAGCGCCTTGAGATGCGACTGACCCGCGAGCTTCTAATGATCTGTGTGATTGCCCGTCTCCAAGGCTCCTCATATCGCGATGATTTCCAAGTGTGAACCCTTTAAGGCTTTCCTTACCGCAAGTCTTTTCATTCCTCGTGAATTTTTCCATCATCGCCACCCTTGATCCTCCAGCAGAGCAGCTCACCCCAGGAGTTAACACGATACACTGCAAAGAACAATGACACGTCCCGGCAAAGGCGAAAGAAGCTTAATGGTTTCCTATATACAGCGATCGACGGATACAGCCTGATCTGGCTTTGCAAGCTCTCCCTGCAGCGAGACCGAGATCCCTCGCTGCCAACGGAACTCCGCCTCATCGGCTGGAATGGAACCGTCGCAATTCTTTCCCCTGGGAGCACTGAAATAAATTCTTTGCTATCCGGGTTGGAATAAATTCCTGGTCCTGAATATCTTATTTTTCAAAATAACGCCACTTTCTTCGTGCGCACCACAGACAATGGGGAGGGGGGGGGGGGGTTTCTGGACACTATTTCCGCGCGAGATTTTTTAAAGCTTTGGAAAATTATGAATGAGCATACATTTATGCATATATTTTACTCAACTTCTCGATTACGGAAAACATAACTAATTCATAAGTGTTGCCAGAGAGTGAAGAATCTCTGTTACAGGTTCATCTAGTCATTCGCTCCACTTCGGTTGATTGCTTGGAATTAGTTTCGGTTTCGGTGACCTTTTTCTTCCATACATGGAAAATAGAAGTAAATAAAAAAATTCCTTTCCCTGGGACCTAGAACCTGCCCTGCCTTAAAGAGAGAGAGAGAGAGAGAAACTACTTTCGAAAGCAGCAGGGATCATGAATCAGGTCTGACCTTCACCCGCTCTCTGCTTGGCAGCGGAGACTTGATGAGCATGGGCTTCTATGCCCATCAATGACTTGATGAGCATGGGCATTCGGTAGGGGACAGGACTGGAACGTTTGCCATGCCAGTCCGTGAAGAGTCGCAGTCAAATCTCAGACATGTTTCAGTCGTGTCACGTCATCTCATGGATGGCCTTTTAACGATGATTAAAGGTGCTATACAATTCTCCTCGATACTGAAAGGAAAAGAAATAAGTTATTTGAAAAGCTTCTGTTACACTTTGAGCCCTGGCAATTTGAATGCGCTGTGGGCATAGGACATCATATGACGACTGCAGGGTTCAAAGTGACTTCCGAAAATCTGAAAACTGCCAAGGAACGGTAAAAAAAAAAAACCTGCAATCAAATTATTCCAGTTTTCGTTTCAGTTTTCGGTGCCATTGTTCACCTTGATGTTGGTTATATTGGGTTCAGAAATTTTCTTTTCATCTTGTTTTTGGCTTTCTTTTTCATTCTGGTTTCAAGATACGGTTGTGACTTCGGAGCAAAATTTCGGTTCCCAGCCCATAGATGCCAAGGTCTAAGGACTGGGCCCTAAAGATGATGATGTCCAATTGGTTGTCTCTCGTGTCAGGGCATACAGCTCGGCGTATTGGCGTAGTTGAGCAATTACCCCTACATGGCCGTGAAATACGATTGAGGTTAAAATGAATCAAAAAGTTGATTTCATCTCGAAGAGATCTCAGGGATCCCTCATCCTCTGAGCATCTTCCTGAAAGTCGAATCTTGAGCTGTCAGATGTAGTCGGAAGTACCTAGACCATTTCACGTTCAATTGCCAGGGAGGAAGAGCTTTATTTCTTCGGCAAGAAGGATTGCAATGGATGAAGCAGAAAGTTTAAAAGTTACGGCCCGTGAACTCGGAGAATCGGGACACAGATCGATGGACCATCGACTCGTCCCTTCAATACAAACCTCCTGCATCCCCCCAACTTGAAAGAGGCTTCCTTTCTGTCTGCATAGATGAAGGGGCTGACGGGGCTCGTGTGCGTTCTCTCTGCGGTGACAGCGATGGGTTCGAACGAGCAAGGTGCTGGAGGGGATCTGGAAGGGAATCGAGGTAAGACAAAACGTAGGTGCTTCTCTCTTTCTATCTTGATTAACTGGCTTATAGCGATAGAGTCATGCCGTATATACCAGACGAGAGAGGTCTATAAGACCTCTCGTTCTCCTCTTTTGTACTCCCAACACGAAGCTCCAATGCCCTGCTTCAATGTCTCTCACAGCCCCTTGATAACACGCGTCTCATGAACCAATGAATGGGCCCCTGGCTCACATCCAACACGACCCTCTTCTCTAAGAGATCTTCAGCATATATAGACTGTATAAGATGATGTTCTCATTTTCACACATTCTAGATATGGAGAATCTGACGTCATTGGCAGTCGTGGATATCCCGGTGACGGACACGATAGAGAACTTGCCCATCCTCGAGATCACGTCCACGCCCACAACCCATTTCGAGCATCAAAACTCATCTATGCCTGCGGAGATGTCAGTGGCTGAGGCCATGCTTGAACGCGATCGGATCGACAGCTTAGCTTACATCTACATGGAGGCCGGGCCTGGAAGTGGAGCCCGGGTTTGGATGGAAGAGGCAGAGGAGGGCATCGCTCTTCACCTCCTGGCAGCCAGCAGCGTTTTATCCATCTTCATATGCGTCCTCATGTTTGTCGGACATGTGATCACGATCCGATACGAGAATCAGGAGTCCACGCTCTTGGCCGTGGCATTCCTCACCTCTCACGTCTTGGGAGACATCACCACCATCCTTGCTATAAAGGTTCAGCCCTCATTTCTCATTCTCTCCCTATTCCGTCCCGGGGATTTAAAATATCGCATGGTTCATTGTGTTGCTCGAAATGGATATCGATTTTAGGGGATCTCACGAATGGGTCTGCTTTGCAGTATACGGGCCTCGAGGGGATAGGGAAATGAGCTCGGCAACTGAGTTTGCTGGTCGGTGATTGGGACATTCGGGTCCACGTCATCACAAGTTTGAAGCTAGGGAATCTGGAAGGGGCAATCGTGGCTAATTCCATACGAAAGAGGCCCCACCAAAGGAAAGGGTTACCAAGGAGAGACATTAGAATGCACCATCCGTTTCCAGGGGTTGAGGGGGAGGAATACAAAAGGCACTGGGAGCATTTGCATCGATTTCGTCTAGCTTTCACGGGATGGAGAGAAGAGGAAAAGTGCAGAAGAAAAAGGCGAAGAAGATGAGGAGGGATGGAGGTTGAAAAAGAGGGAAACAATGAGAAAGGGAGGGCAAATAGTCCTATGGGCTTCCTCCAGGCGAATAATATCTCCCCAGTGTCGTTTTGATCGAGTCTTTTTCTCTACCATGGAGATGAATCTTGACGAACAAAGAACTACTCGTATTCTCTTCTTTCATTGATCTTCTACGGCCATCTTTCGGACCCAAATGCCTTCCGGCTTTCATCTTCATGGCGCAGACACTCATGAATGCAACTTCTGAATAAGAACCCCATTTCCCTCCAGACTGAGATGGTTTTGTGCCATAAATTTGCAGGTCCCCTGGGTGGAGACGAGTTGTTTCGTGCTGGCAACGATACATCATTGCATTCATCTTGCCACTCTCGGCTGGCTATTCTTGATCACCCTGACAACATGCGGACCCTGGAGGACCAAGGGTGACCACTTCATCATGCTGTTCTTATCAGCTCTCTGGATCTTGTTCTGCGGGGTAATGGATCCAAACGTTTATCGAACTTCACCCCCCTGTTCCGTGTCCTTCTATCGAGGGATGCTTCTCGGCTACGTTGGACCAACGTGCCTCATTCTCATGGTTGGTGTTGAGAACAATGAAGCTTGCCATATGGGGAAAAAGGTTCGGCATCTATTCGTCATTGAACCTGTATATCTATTTCAGATCAACACTGGATTGGTGTTGGCAAGAATGCGTCGATTCTTGAAAGCTGTTCCCATAGAAGACGAGGAAGACGATCAGAAACCCGGCTGCGGGGAAGTGGGAGGAGCCGCCGCTCTCCCTTCATTCTACGTCGTTTTCTGGTTCTTCGAGATCCTCACCATGGAGAACAATTACATCGGCCTCGCCCTTGCCTCCATGGCCACACAACAAATCACCGTGAGTGGTGATTTCGTGTCCTTCGTACAGCAGATGTAATTAGCCCAAACAAACGAAACTTCACTGTTCTAACAGTTCCAGTGGAACTACTTTCCCCTTCAGGGATGCCCTTAGAGACTAGATGTCATCTCTCCACTTGACACGAAAAAAATGGAGCTCTGGGACCGAGTCGAGATGGGAAAACGCTGTTGCTATCTCATCCGGCCATTTCTCTGCTCTGTCACATGGGTGACATCGTTGATTTAGACTCGAGTCGCCAAAAGTAAAATAGAAATATCCTGCCTTTTTTTAGGGAGGGGGTGGGGGAATGAAAATAGTGCATTTCTAAAGTGCATTTCTAGGGGAAGGAAAATTACACGCTTTTTGATCACTAGAGCGTGAAGATGAAGGAAGCGTGAAGCATGCCATGATCCAATCCCCAAGTCATGCATAGCGGATGACCTAGCACTGTATTATGCATGGAAAAGAGAGGCCAAGGGCTACTATATGCATCCCTTGTGACGAATGCCTTATGCGGGATGTCAGGAAGGAAGGATATTATATCTTCGACCTGCTTCCTTTCGGATCCAAGGAGGAAAACCAAGGACGGAATGAGGACTCTACAACACACGAGAGGGTAGATCCGATTAAGGTGTTTGTCTTCCTCTCTCCAGAGGCTCCTGCGAAGGATAAACCCAGCCTCCGGATACTTCGATACCCAGATCCTTCTACCCTATCCTCAGAGGGAGGAACCGCCCGCCTGTTTTCCTTTCTAATATACCCTGAGGTTTAGCTAGGAACAGCTCACGGACGCCCAGAAGATGCGTGATTTCGTGCACTGGAGGCCCCTATGAGGTGTTGGGGATTGATGCTTTCCATTCGAGGTTAATGGAGCGCCTGCAGTAACAGATGGAGAAACACGGAAACATATTTTCGTGCATAGAATGTCGTGACCAGATGAGTAGGGCGGACATAATCGAGATGTTGAACATCGGCCAAAAGCTCCGGCCCGGGCCCATTGCTGGCAGAGACATAACTAATACACGTCATCCTCCATTGACTGAATCTAGGTCGACGTGTCAGCATGGGTTGGGCTTCAATTTAATTAGAAGTTCTCATAATACTGCATCAGGAGAAGAATGAATCATGCGGAAGAATCGCAGGCCTATACTAGTGGAATCTTTGACAGAAATGACGTCTGCAAAATAGTTTATTGTTACGACGTGAGGAGCCATAAACATGAATTTTGCGAATAGGCCAACAGTGGTTGAAGAAGGGATGAGATGTGGGGTCTGGGGGATTCTCTCCTTTTTCTCCATTCCGGATGTCTGGATCAATGAGCCCGTAAATAAGAAGGCAGACTCCATTCCAGCTCAGTGGGATGGCGAGGAAAAGCTTCCGAAGTACCTCCAGCCTTTCCATGGAGTCCTTTGTCTTCTTGACTTTTTCGTTTAAACGCTGTAGTTGCACACTTGGGAAACGTACTCATTTGGGAAGAAAAAAGCACCTTGATGAAAAAAGCAAAAGATACGGCTATACGAGTAGGCTCTGACACCAAATTTAGCACGAAAAAACGCATTCATCTGTACGGAACTGTACTTGGCGACAAAAAGCGAACTGGGCTTCGTCCAAAAATAATAAACTGCAGGTGAAACGCAAGAGTTAATACAGTAAACACCAAAATGTGAGCAAAAGCCAATGGACACGCAAGGGGGGCACAAAACCAATGCATGAATCGATGATAGCCATAGAGGGGAGGGAATTTCCCACTCGATATCCGCTTCACTTCCAAAGAAAGAAGTCGATCGATTGATGCTCTCCTTTCGCTTTACAGAACTTGACATTCCTGAGGTACCATGGCCCATGTTGGATAGATGCCTGGACCCTCCTCACCCGTCCGGTGATGTACAAGAAATGGCACGACAATCCCGGGGCATGCCAGTACGATAAGGAAACCTATAGTGTGAGTGTGCCACTTGTCCAAGAGGAACAGGCTGACATTGAAATCTCCCTTGTGTCTAGGGCCGAAGATTATACTGCCCTACCCTCTCATTCCACTCATTTACAGTCTCAAATCCTCAACTCTCTGTGATTGTCTACATTCGTTCCCTCTGTCCGTGTCTCGTGGAGCGCCTCTAAAAAGAAAATAAACTGCTGCTAGGACATCTCGTTCAATTCTTCTGGTGCTTTTGTTCGAGCACCCTCTTTCTCTTCATCGCACTAAGTTATTTAAGTTCAAAGAGGGTAAGCCTAGCTCATCCAGGCTCAGGAGGAGATCAAGGAGATCTTTTAATCCTCCCCTCCGCGATTTGCATGCAAGTCGCAGAAAATCTGTGATCGGATTCTGAGGAATGAAGAAGAAAAGAAATAAAGAGAGGGGAAAATCCGATATCTCCCTGGGCTCACTTGCTATGCAGTGCGAGACTCAGTTACATAGGAAAGGAGCTGAGTGGAGGAACGGGACGGAGCGACAGAGCTGGAGGGGATTTCATTAAGCGTCTCTGTTCTCTTCCGAGTCTTTTTCTTCCACTTTTCGCCCAGCATAACAACCCCTCTCCTTCTCCTGTATTACATTCGTCCCCTTATCCTTAATCTCCCCTCATGCACCTTCGTTGGGTTTCTCTCTCCCTCCTATCTGTTGCATCTCGGCAGCAATGTTGGCTTTCCTGGAAAAAAAAGTTTAGCAAGACATGCTAGAATTTTCTTCTTCAGGATTTCATCATAATGGAGAAAAAGGACACAATCGACAACAGGACAACATCGACAACAGGATAGGGCAAAGGAGGGAGAAGAACCAATACAATTCTTCGTATCTGTGATTAAAGGAGCGTTAATTGAAACCTGATGGGAAGCTGATTAGGATTCGTGCTATCGACATAGAACTTACGAACCCTCCTTTCTCTCAGAGTCCTCTAAATGCAAATACCAATATATCCCTGGCTTCATGAAAGTTTCATCACGAGGTCTAATCCCAGGAGTCCCATAGGTGAACTAGAAACAAATAAAGGACGTGATAAAAAAAATAGAGGATACGGCCAGTCCGGAGAAGAAGATTGGGGAACAAGAAAGAGAATTCGTTAAAGAAGGTTCTTACTCACTGATGGAATTCTGGGTTTTGGATCACCATGAACTTTCATGGAATATCTTACTAATATGAGTGAGCCATTGAATCACAGTCTGAACTTTCGCAGGATTCCTTGTCTAATATTAAACCATTAAATCAAAGATACTCAGACCACTTTGTTTATACTGTCAATAGGAATACCTGTATATAGGCCTTGCTCAGCTGTTGTTCTTGGGATATAACACAAATTGGATTCGGCAGAGATCTCTAAGGAGAGGAATCGCTCCGTACATTCTGCACTCATTGGGAATAGCAGCCGCATGTCCTAGCTGAGGGCAATTCAATTTTAGCCGATTGAATTACCGAATTCCCAAGCCATAAACTCCTCCTTCGTCTATGGTCTAAGAATCATTACTGGATTCCCCTGCCAGCCCCAATCCTCTTTCTTTCTTTCTCTTCTTCCGTATGAGAAAGAAAAAAAGAAATAAGTTCCCTTTGGATCCGGAACTGATGACAAGGCTTGTTCTTATTGCCCAGCGGCCCAGAGGAAATGAATTACAAGAAAAGCAAAGTTGAGCAGACCCGCTCGGCCACATGACATTCCACCCGACCAACATTGCAGGCTCGCATTTATCATCAGGCTAATGGCGGATGATAATCACAAGGATAACGATAATGGAGATTGCAGTCCAGGATGAAGGAATTTGCTTCTCTCCAAAGCATCGACTCCACTGGGATCTGAACCAGGAGATAAGAATGAAAAATGAGGACTCGGAGACACATAGTTGGGTAATCAATCTTTTCTGGGATGACAGTCGTGCTTTGCAATGCGACTTACTCCAACGGCGGAAGAGAAGGAACGAAATGAAATTGGGGAGGCCGGGGTTGGGAGAGTACATTAGGGGTCGTACATCAATTATTTGAAAGCAATCCATTAGGGCATTTCCACTTGTCTGTTATTTCCCGCCTTCCCCATCAGGAAGTTTTAAATATTAATAGGCTTCCCTTCATACGCTGAAAACTCCAAGTTAACTTCTTCGACATCGCTGCAATATATCCTCCAAATCGAAATTTATCCATCTGGAGCGAAACGAGAATACAAAGAAACATACATCGTCTGCTGTCAGCGGAAGGGAAAGTCCGCCCATCAAAAAGGGCAGTTAATAGAGGGATCCATCAAAGGTAGCCTCTATCTTCATGCCCTCATATGTGTTAAGTAAATAATACTTTATTGTATGATAACTTTTCATAAAAATTATAATAATTAATTTAGGCCTAATTAGATTTATGACCTATGTACTTTATTGCATTTTGACCTCAATATAAAGTTACTCGTTTCAAGAGTTTCAATAGAGTTTCAAGAAGTTTCATTATCCCTTGAAATGATTGGCTGAGTGATGAGTGAAGTGATGAAGTGACAAACTGGAAATCGCTTGGTGTGGGATCGAGTGGCGCGACAAGTATCCACAATGCAGTCTTGACGTCGTTCCACGCAGGAAATTCCTTCGCTCTTCACAATGAGAGAGGGAACAATGAACCTATTGACATTCAATTAAAAGTTCAGAGGGCATCCATGCACTGAATGAAAAGGGGGAGGATAAAGGGTGTCCACTACACACTGTCTCTATGCGAAAAATAACCCTTCCGCTGCAAGTAAGGGAAATAGACAAAACAGTGGGTGATTTAAGTGTAATGATAAGGATGGCATTGAGAGGCACGATTGAATGTCCCGGGTTCGGTGGTGTAGTGGTAGCACACCTGACCGGCAATCAGGAGGCCACTGATGGGGAAGGCGGGAAATAACAGGCAAGTGGAAATGCCCTAATGGATTGCTTTCAAATAATTGATGTACGACCCCTAATGTACTCTCCCAACCCCGGCCTCCCGGGTTCAATTCCCGGCCGTCCCCTGGCTTTCTTTCGTCCTCTCCTGCCATCCAATTCTCCGGCCATTGACATGACATAAGCATGACATGCAATTTAAAAAAAGTAACTTAATTCAAGCAAAAAAATCGCGATACAGGGTGGGGGGGAAAAAAGAGGAAAATAATGGAAATAGTACTTATTATTTTACCTTTCAGATTGTACGACTGTAACTTGTTGGAAGAGCGCATAAAAGTGGTTTAGTGGTTATGCATACTGTAGGTGCGGCGTAGATTTAGAAGGTATTTGATGGACTTTCCAACTCGCGCTATAATTAATGTTCAGTTCAGTAATGATAAAAATTATTGGAATACTTGCTGATTACTGATAGCTTTTTTGTTGAGTCATTGATTTTCGAAATCTACTCGCTTTATTTTTCTTGCACCTCGTATCTTGATTTGTGAGGCTTGACTCGTCCTAAAAGAAACGTCACATATCACCTGCATCGCCTGTCAAGTTTCGTTTCTTTGCCTCAAATGCTGAGGAAGACATAAAGCGTAGAGTGGAGGGGAAAAGTGGGGGAAAGTCACGAGAACTCTGGGATGCTGTTCTCTTTCCCATCTTCCTTTTCTTTTTCTTTTTTTAAGAGGGAGGCACGCGTCTCCTCTGGCTCTCCGACGCAACGCCACTGATGGGACGGCAAGTTCTTAAAAGGACATAACAACTTTATGGGCACTTGTTTTACGTTGTTGCATATGCCCCTATGAACTGGCGAGGCTAGAATGAGTATGAACAAAGAAAAGAAAATCGTCTAAGGTGCCAAAAACGGGATGGTTGAAAATTCAATTAAGTTCCTTGGTGGTTCTTTCAGTTCGTAGTGATATAATGGATAAAGAAAGAAGCTTGGGGGGGTCAGAGCCTTAACAAGACAAAATTGAAATGTCAATCTATTGTCTGCTGAGAACAATGAAGATCCCTTTCACACACGAACGAATCTGAAAGGCTTTATTACGCGGTAGCATATGAGGTATGTCTCCTCCTTCCTCCATGATAACCAGGGCGACATGAGAAGGCACTGTACACAAGATAAAGCTGAAGCAGCTCTGAGCAGCTTCAAGAGAGAGCTCTCCTTCCATTCTTTCCATGAGCTCTTTCCATTCTTTCCTTGGCTATTCGAGGATTAATGCCAAGGACTTGCAAGATGGCTGTGCTCGAGGATAAATGAAGAAGAAATCAATAATTATGTATGACGTCGTATATTTAAAGTCTCACATGAAATAAATTCAACAGATTTTCATGCATCGCAGCGGCCATTTCTGTTCATTCATACCTTTTCTAGTATTCCTTGATACGAGATTACACTGGCCACGGACGCCGGATTTCCCTAGATCGACGGTTCCCGATTCCTTCGCCGTAAAGTGTTCAAAACAACACGAGGCTCGCTTCAAACTCCAGCCGATTCGCCTGTGCAAGCACCCTCAAGACGTTAGATATGGAAGCAGATTCATTTCCGTGAAAGAGCTGACACGTCCCCTGGCGGGGTGTGAGAAATGACTTGGGCTATATGACCGATGGAAGTGTTCTTGGCCCCTTGCCACTGAAGCGAATGTCTCACACAGAGATGGTGTGCATCTGACAACATGAAAAGACTGAAAAGCAACACTACTTCATACATAGCAGCAACAGAGATGACTGAGTCCCGGTAATACGTCTCATCCATCACGGGAATCAAGGCCTAGGCGGGAAGGAAAAACCCATTTGGGATATTGGCTGTCCCCTGGCCTTCCGAGATTAATGCAGTTCGACGGTTCTGTCACTTATATGGCGATGGCAAAAAAAGAGAGAGAGAGAACCTCTATGGCTGGTTGGTCTGTGTCGATAATGAAGGGAAAAGTCTCAGGCCCCGGAAAGCCCCTCATGAGAGGAATTGCTCGGACTCTAGTAATGCTACTCATTGCGGACGACGTACGAGGTATTAGGTCCCAACGTCCTATTTTGCAGAGATTGTTCAAGAGAAATTGATCGACAGGAACAAGGCTATGGGGGATGGTTGTATTGGGTTCTTCGTTAATGCACAAGCTTTTGTCTGCTTGTCATCGGGGCTTCTTGTTGAGGGACTTCCGAAAAATCTCTTCGGATATGAAGAGAACAATGGAACAAATCTCTCTTCTGGCGCCACATTCATCATACATGTGCAAGCTCTTCTCCATCCCTTTGTCATAGGAAAATGCTTCTT